TCACCATCCCTGGAGGTATTTAGAAGACGTGTAGATGAGGTGCTTAGGGACATGGTTTAGTGGGCATGGTGGTGTTGGGTTGACGGTTGGACTCGATGATCTTGGAGCTCTCTTCCAACCTTAATGATTCTATGATTTGATTAATTCAGCTAGCATCAAGCTGAGTTCTTTCCCTCATCAATACTCACACCTATAGGACAGTGTTTGGATAACTCAAACTCTAAATGGGCTTGGCTTTGAAATAGAAGAACTGCAAGGAATAAACTCTTGAACAGCCTTGTTCCTTGTTTCACTTGTCTGACAAAGTACGGCCATGTAAGTTACAACTTTCTAAGCAGACTTTGGGGAAATGTGCAGTTGTAAGAAGATACAACTAAGTGGAAACAGAAAAGATGATATTTTTTTTTAAATTCCAGTAATCTGTGGAAACAAATGAAAATTGCATTCAGTTATCCTTGTGAGAAGCCAGTGTGTTTTTACCCAGCAATGATTTTTTTTTTGTGATGTTTACTTCTACGTCAGTTCTGAGACTGCCGTATAGTGCTTTGCTTTGATCGCTGCAGAACCCAAATGGAACTTACTTCTCAGTGGCAGTCCTCAGAAATTTAGGATTACTCTAGGATCTATTTAAAGCATTTACAATTGTTTATTGTAAGTTAACTGACACAATATTGCACTAGTTACCTCTTTACTGGTATAAAGTGATTCTAGACTACTGGATTTGCCCCATAATTCCTGTTCTATTAAAAATGACTACTAAGAGCTGGAGGTCTTGACTTGTAGACATTAATGCTTTGGAGTCTTAAGTTATCTGAATATGCAGATTTCAGAAGTAGCTATTCTTGAAAGAAGTTAAACATCACTGAATCCGTAGACTAGAAAGATCTTCAAGAATATGCCTGGTTTTTATATTGGACAAAATGAGTGCTTATGTCTGCCTCCTCACTGTTAAGATGGTGAAATTGAGACTTTGTTCTTAATAGACATAAGCTTCTGGGCTCCAATTCATGGTACCCATAAATTTTTTTAACAATGTCTTTAGCTTTCCTGATCAGTTCCTTCTACTTCGTAATTTCTGACACACATTTGCCTTCTTTCTCTCAGTTCACAGTGGTCTTTAAGTGCTTTCCTCTATTAACTCCTGAGGCAAGAGAACATTATTCCAAATTATTCCCTTCCGTGGTTTTAGATTGATTGGTTTTTTGATTGTCCAATATACTACTTCAAAAGTTATAATTCTATTCATGCCTGACTGCATTTTCTGCCCAACCATTTTCATTCATTCCTCTCCACTTTGGGAAATCTACTCTTGAAAGAATTAGCTAATTTATTCCGATTTTTAACTGCTACTGTAACAACTCCTTTTATATAAGAAAATGCTTTTTCTCCAGAATAGTTATTGGTTCTTCAGCTGCATAGCTACTTCATTTCATTCACCTGTTTGCAGTAGTAATCCTGATAATCTTATTCTGCGCTTACCCTCTTGTATTCACAAGTGCTTTTCCTCTAATTCCAGACAGCCAGACGTGCCGCAGACACAGCCAAAACCTGCTGTTCCTGCTCCTCCAGAAGCAGCTCCTGTTGCCAAATCGTGGGCCAACACCAAACCAGGTGGACAAGATGGTAAGTGATGTTCAGAGTGGAGGGGTTCTTGACTGCCCTAGCAGGCTATGAATGCTGCTGTGAGAGATCCCCAGACTCGGCAACCGTTTGAGACTTGACTGAGCCAGTGGGACTACAAATGCAAATGCTGTGGAAGCAACTTGCTTGGCCAGAAGGTGAGCTGGTCCCCTGTCACTCAAGTGAGCTCCAACCTGATTTAGCAGCAAGTCTGACTGCCTTTTAAAGGGCTGGCATAGTCACCTCTTTTGGATTGACAAGGAAATGGTGGTGACAGCCTAAGATCTTGAACCATGGCTATGGTGAGGAGGGAAAATCTCAGTCAGTAGTTATAATGCATGCAATTTTGGCATGGAAAGGAGAACCATAAACAGTTAGTGATCATTCTAATCATAATTTTAGATCATTTTGTGCAAAATGTATGTAGTCTTCTATTTAAATGTCTGCTACAGCAATACTTTTCCCTTTATTTTATAGATTCCTTGGTTATTTTGGTTTCTAAGAGATAATGTTCAAGTAGGATTTTTTCTGGGGAAAGCATTAAAGGTGTGTTTTGGGGTTTAACATAATTGTATGAAAGAATGGAGAACTATTTCCATCAGTGTGAATCTTAGCTTGAGTGCTTTCATTACAGATATAAGATCAGAGCTAAATCTTCAGCAGATTTTTTTAAATTGCTTGTAGAGTGAGAGGTTACTAAGGATTCCTGTGACTCCATTATGAAAAATAACCTATGACATGTTTTATTCCTTAAATTTGAGACTTGCAAGCTTTTTGTGGCTATAAAATAGAGTTTGGCTTCCAAGTTGAAGTGAGCTCTCTTCTGGATAGACATCTTAGAATAGTAAAATCTGAATTGCATGGAGGTAACTTCTGAGCCTCTAAGTATGGAGTTTATTAACATCTCATATCTAAAGATTCTGCCTTTTTTTGCAGAAGTATTAGAAGTGACAGTTCTAGATTCTCCACTTCTTGCTTTCCTTTAATGTTCAGTGTTTCTTTCGTTGTCAAATATAGGAACTCTTCTCCTTTAAACTTCTGCAGTTTTGTAGAATAAAAAAAAAGAATTAACACTGATGCAAAGTGATCTGCATACCAGCCTTTCTACATAACCTGATAAGATCATCTGTATGACACAGGAAATAGTGATTTGGCTCAGTGGCTTCAAAATGCATTTAGCTAATTATTTTGTAGTTACTGTGGCAGCTTGTGTGCCAAGCCCAGATGGTGCCCTCATTTCATTCAATTAATGCAGTAGTGGGTTTGCTGTTTCAAGAAAAAATACAGAATGTGAATTGGCATCAGCTGCTTGCTATCCTCCTCAGTTTGAAACTCAGGATACACCTGTTGTGCTCATGCTTTCCTGATCTGCAGTTGGCTGATGGAACTTGTAGTTTTTCCAGATGCCTTGTGTGTGTTCCAGCAGTCATTCAGCTGGCCACCTCAGGATCTTGTAAGACTTCAGTTGAGCGAGGCAAGACTAAATCCTTCTCTGATTGCTGTTTTGCAATTAAAACATTGATGCTGTCACTGTGTAGACTTGAGCAGAAAACATTTTTCAGGATTCATAAAACTCATGAATGTTGCATGCCACAGGACCACTGAAGAGGCTCCCTTGTCTGGCAGGCCATCTGGTTAGTGTGACTGTGGTTTTCAGTCCCCTTAAGCAAGTCATTGGATGTAGCTGCTTGGGAACATTAAGAGTCCAATGTGCATTAACAAAAAAAGTTAACATGATTTGTAGCAGGTGAAGCTGGAATGAAGATTGAAAGACTTCAAGGCAATTTGTGGGCATGGGGATAAATAGTGGTATTTGCTGTTATGCCTTTACAAAGAAAGTACAAAGAGTAAGGAGTTTATCCTGTACTTGACTCTTCATCTTAAAAAAAAAAAAAAAAAAAATCAGGATCCCCTGTGTTTTATTGTTATGAAGGATTCTTTCATGGATTGGAGACCATGGTTTTGGAAATCAAAGAATGCTACAGTTCTGATACTTTTCTCATAATGTAAAAGCTGTGGCCTTTTAAAGTACTGAAGAATTGTTGTTAGAACAGTAATTAATGTTAAGGGCTTTTGCAATAACATAGCTGCCCATTCTTGGGTTGACTATAGTTGTAGAATAAAACGAAGGAAATCTTTGTCTGGAAGGGGGTGGGAGGAAGTGTTAACAGAGCTGAGGAACTTCAGGTACTCTCCATGTTAAGTCTTGTTCCACTGTCCATTATTGCTCTCTGGTGCTTCTTGATTTTTCTCAGCCTCAACAGGTGTGACAGTTCGCCTAGTAAATTCAACAACTTTGGTGGCAAATGTGAATGCTTTACAAGGATTGCTCTGTGCTTCTGTGAATTATGTTACCAGTAAATTGATGTGGCTTTAGCATTCACTTTTTAAGGATGATCAGGCTTTTATTTTCTGAACTGTTTTGACTACAGAAAGTTGTGACTTTGTGAATATCTTACTGTGCAGGTCCGGCTATTCAAGTAAATAGTTATTTCCAGCAAGAGTTTCCCAGTCTGCCGGCAGCTGGGGATCAGGAAAAGTCAGGCAAAGAGAAGGATGCACCTGAAGAGCTCCATGGATCAGGACCCAACTTGCGACCACAAAGTAAGTATATACTACAAATTTTTGTGAAATTGCATGGGTTTGTGTGGAACTTGTCTACTACAAGATTACTTGTGCCCCATACAAAATAAATTGATGAATTGATTGTCTTAATCGCCACACTCCTACACTGAAGAAACAGATTTTTGGGGCTTTCTTCTGCTTTACTGTGTTCCTAGTGTATGGAAAATAGGGTATTTAATCCTAACCTGCAGTTCACTTTCCATTTTCCCAGCCTAGTCAGTACTCCACTTGTGCTCTGAGGAACACTTGTTAGTTGCACAATACTGGAATTTTCTTACTTCCAGCTGCTAGATGTCACAACAGCTAAAATATGTATTTAAAGAAATCTCCTAATATTAACCAAGTATATAAATCATCATTGGGGTTGTTCCCAAATGGTTAGGACTCATAAGAGAGTAGCCTGAAAAATCCTGAATAGGAAGTGTAATCTACAGGATACCAGAAGAGTGGACTGCGATTTGAAAGGCTGAGGCATCTTTAGCTTGTGGCTGAGGTGCTCTGACTAGCTGGATCTGTTTCAGCTGTGGGGGATTAGATCTAGTGAAAACAACCATAATGGTGCTGTTCTTGCATGTCTCAGTGAAGAAATGTGTATTGTTTCCCCAGATCCTTTTAATGGGGAGGCATTTGGGATTGTGCCTGTTGCCAGTAAGAAACAAGATTCCTTTCTTCCTCAAAAATTTGTTTTTGATGAGGTTTGGTGGACTAGGGATCCTTTCCTGCACTGTAGGTGGCACTATCTTGTGCCAGCGATAGACAAAATGTGCACTGCTTTTAGAGGGCTTGGGCTCTCAGGGAATCCTTAACTCCTTTCTGTTACAGGCATCGGTTTTCCTTGATTTGTTTCAATCAGGTCCTGCAGACTAAGGCCATATGCTTATTCAGATCCTCACTTGATTTTGATGTAAAGAATAAGTTGTCAAGAAATTTGAGAGATGTCCAACATCAAATTAGGAAAATAGCTATGCGTGTCTGTTCCAGCCTCACTTAAAAAGATAATGCGCAGGTATATGTCATTTGGAGCTGCTTGAGAGTTTCGTGGCAGGCCTTTGCTTAAGAAGCTTGATCTTTCCCTTGACAACATCTTCACACTGAGTCAACAGTGGCTCACTTACCACAGCTAAATCTGTTTTCTCTCCTGTGCTACTACCTGTATCTTTCCTAAATTGCATTGTGTTTTGGAAGGTAGAGCAGGACAACTAGAGAACTCTGTAAATTTAACTCTTACCCTTCAGGAACACAACTGGATGTAGGGCTGAAGACAATTAGAAAACAGCCTCTGTTTTCTCAAGTGGCCATTGCTTGTTTCAGTACCAAATATTGACTGTGTGTCTGCACAGATCGCTGTGTCACTGAAAACTGGGTAGGAGGAATGTGTTTTTCATCATGCCTATCTGTAATATAAAGTGTGTTCTTGTTTTTTCTCGTACTGATTCTGTCCATGCAGATGCTACTAGTTGGAGAGAAGGTGGTAATAAGAGCAACTTGCCCAGTTCTCCAACCGATCAAGAAGCTAAGGCTCTTGGACAAGAAGATGGTAATGCTACACCAGCAGAACAAAATGATGGCCAGAAGGCAGCAGAGAAGAGGGATGTGCGGTTACCACAGGTCCCTCAGCCCAAGCTGAATGGCCAGCAGCAACCACCTATCGCATCTCAGTACAGAGCAATGATGCCACCTTATGTAAGTGATGGTTACATGAAAAGTTTTTAAGCAGTAGGGATTGATTATTGGCTAGTGTGATTTCCTTATGCCCCTTTCTCCTCCCTCCATAGAATGCTTAGCAGTTCTGGCTAGAAGGGTGGGATTGCAACCAACTCCTTAAAGGATGTGGCTACCTGTTGCTGTTCCTGCTATACTGAGTTTAAACTTGTCAGGAGCTGATTAACACTTGTAATCACTCTACCTTGGTGACTTGATGTCACACGCTTGTGATATTAAGCAAACTGTCTTGAGTGAGGAGTCTTGCTTTACTTCCATTGTGATTCCTTTGATGATCTCAGTATGCTTGATGCAATATTTTTTAACGAATGGCTCCTGTTTTTAAACCTTTCTTAGATGTTTAATCAGTATCCTAGAATGGCATATCCTCCTTCCATGCAAGGTCCAACAAGGTTTCCCAATTCTGAGCCTAGCAGGTAAGAAACCTTACAAGTGTTATTGTTGTGTGGGTATGAACTCTTGTTTGTGACTCAATTATTAAAAAAAAAAGAAAAAATTTGCACTGAGTGTCTTGATTATGATTATATGCTGCATAAGAACTGCCGCTGGTTAGTCTCACAAGTTTGGCTTGTGTGGAGCAGTGCCATGGAGTGGTTTGTGTTTGACAACTCAACTGCAAAACCTGAGGGAATTCTGCACATTACAGGGTTTTTGACTGGGAAGAGCAGGAGTCACTTGGGGACACTTTTGAAAAACTTCAACCAGTATTTTGCCTGTAAAAGGACTCTTCCATTGTTATAATGAAAGTACTTAATTCCTGGTCCTCAACTCTACTGCTCTCCAATTACAGTAGAACTGTAATGTATTATAAAATTAGTTCTCCTGCTCTCTGTGCATTTCTCCATAATTGAGGATGGCTGCGCACATGCGTGAGGAAACAGGGGATGCTGTAGGCAGTGAGGTACAAACTTTGACAGGTGATCTGTGGTTGGGATCAGGCAGAGGACAGAGAGGGATGACTGGGAGAACTTGAGTATAGGAGTCAGGAGAAAGGTACGGAACCTTTGACAGTGGGAAAGCGTGAAAAGTATAAAGAAATATCTCCAAGATGGATAAATTGGTGATAAGGATGCCGGATCTATGCAGTATGTTGTTTGAAAACTACAAGGCATGTGGTATTCTACTGTCAGCTGATGTTTGGTTTGTTTGTGAAGTGTGCAAGCAAGGCTATAGCATCTAATCTTTCTCTTCCACAAAGAACCATCTGTGGTGTATCAGTAATTATTTGAACTACAATAGTCACACATGTGGATGATAGTTCACATTTATACTGTTTGAGAGAACAGTACTGTATACTTCAAATGATTGTCATACAAGTTGACCTTTTATCTAGTCATTTTGCTGGATAAATAGTGATAGTGGCCTTTGTTTCTTTTTTTTTTTTAGAGGGCCAAGGGGAAGAGGACCACCTTCATGGTGCTCAGAACCTATTGAGCGCCCATCCATTCTTAGTGCTAGTGAACTTAAAGAACTTGATAAATTTGATAATCTAGATGCTGAGGCTGATGAAGGCTGGGCAGGTAAGAACATCAGATGAATGGTTTCTGTTATTTGTACATTGAATCTTTCTGAAAGATTAATTGAATATTTGCTTATGTATCAGGTGCTCAGAGCGAAGTGGATTACACTGAGCAGTTGAACTTCAGTGATGATGATGAGCAAGGAACTAGTCAAAAAGAGAAGGAAAGTGGGTGAGTTGGTGTTGCCAATTGGGTGTGAATGCCACTTAACTAGCTTAGCTTTTGGGAAGGTTGAATGAGATGAGTGCAAGTACTCATTCCAGTAACATTTATTCCAGTAACTTAATACCGTATTAAATTGCATAACTGCCTGCAGACTCCAGCCAGCTGGGCGTGTAATAGAAATGATCCTTGCTGTGAGGAAATATCATTCTTGATAAGAAACATTGAGGATAGAAGATAAATCACCAAATACCTGTGTGGAGTACACCTCCCATTTTTCTTATTTCTTTGCACATAGTGATGAACAAACACCATCAAAAGATTCCCAGAGTCCTGATGGCCAGAAGGAAGCAGAAGAACAGACAAGTGTTAAGTCTGCCACCCAGGTTTCCACAGCAGCAACCAAAGGGTCTTACAGCAAAAGCTCTCAGCTTGATCAGGTTTGTGTGTTCTTCTCTTCAGCTCTGCTGGCAACAGTCTCGTCAGGAGAGGTCCGACTCAGGTGTCTTTCCAAACTGTCAGGTCAACTAAGGTTATGAACATGAGTGAAAGCATTAACTACTGCTTATCTGAACTGTGGTAACTGATCGGGTGCTGCTTAGTCAACTTAGCTGCTTCTGGTTGCAAAATAAAAATAGCATGTCTTTAACTAGTGTGTTCTAATCCACAGTTGTGAGGGGGTGAGAACTCTTGTGTCAGTTACTGTTACTCAACTGACAAGCTTTAACTCGATACTCTTGTCTGTCCATCCCTGTAGCAGTGAATGAAGTTGTTCTGTTGTCTATCATGTTTTATAGTGGCACAGAGTACATAGTGCCCAGCTGGCCCACACATTTTTCCTGGGTGTGGGGCTTTTTTTTGGTATTGTGACCCACTTTCTTCAGTGCAACTTAGCAGTAGTGTGTCAGCTCACTTCTGACATCTCAGGCTGATAGATTTTATACAGACCATGTGGAATTCATAAGCTTAGCCATTTCGGTTTTTCGTTTATCCTGCAGTAGAGGAAGACTAGCCACGACTTCAGCTTATGCCTGCTTCAGCTCTATTCCTTCCGTGCCCCTCCTCACCCCCACCCCACCCCGGGAAAAGCTACTGTTGGCTTTATCTGAAAATTTCCCAGAAATGTTTTCTCTTGACACCAGTAATAATGAAGATGGAAGATCTTGAATGGGTTCTACTTGCGCTTTCTCTGTGTATAAAGGTCATGTTGTCTTTCAGGGTTTGATGCTACCTTGAATTTGAGGAAAAACAGTGCAGTAACACAAACTCTGAAATTTGGATGTGTGAATTTTTAAAGTAATTGTTTAGCTGTCAGTACATAAAGTGGAAATGTTCTTGCCCTTGTTTTGCATGCAAATTTGTATCGTATGCAGATAGTTCACTAGGTGTAGTATCTTAATGCAGTAGAAAACAGTAAATCTAAAGTTTATCAGCTTGACTGTTGTTAGGAGCTTGCTTAACCCTGGTACTGTGTTTGATCCAATAGGATCGGGGTCCAGCACAGCCTTCTATACATGAAAGAGGTGGTCCTGCTCTTCATCCAAAATCTATTCTACCACCGGTAAGAAAGATTAGAATTGTCCTTATTTCCTTGAGTTAAATTCCTTAATGCTGTGGTGGAGGGATTTAGACTAAGAAAAGTAAAAATATGCTTCATGTAGGGATAAGCCTTTTCTTTAACAAGTCAAAGTGCCTGGGGCCAGTAAGAATGGGACCCCAGCACAGCCATGCTGCTAATTGTGTAAAGCAGCCCCATCTTGTAAGTGGCATATGAAATGCATGAGAACTTCAAGAGCTTTTCAGTTACCCAGCCCCATTTGGGAACTAGAGAGGACAGGGGCATGGGAACTGTGCTGGAGGGCTGGCTGCTGAGGCAGACGGGGAGATGAAGTCCCAAATGAAATGTGTGCATAGTAGCTTCTTACCAATTTTCAACAGTCCTTATTAAAATCTCTGTTATCCTGAGCTACCTTGAATTTCTTTTGCTCCTCTTGACTGAGATCTGCCCTGAGTCTTTGTGATTTAGAGCAGCCTGTAACCAAATCTAAAAGACGCTTGTCATCTTTGCTGTCACTTTGCCTTAGTGATGGGGAGGAGTGACTGAGCCCAACTGAATCTTTACCTCTTCTTTCTGAGCTCAGGTCGCATGAGTCCGAACTGGAGCAGGAAGGTGGGGGCTTGCTTTTTCTTCCAAATCTTGCTTTTTAAAGGTGCCATGCAAATACATGTGTTGACAAATAGTTAAATTATCTGGCTGTTTATATAATACATGCTCAACTTGATTTAACTGATTTCAATATTGCAGCACCCTCCTCCCCCTGATCGCCAGGTAGGACCTGGAAGGCAGGGACCCTTTCCCCCTAAACCAGTACCAGATGAAGATGAAATTTGGAAACAGAGGAGAAGACAGCAGTCAGAGATATCTGCTGCAGTTGAACGAGCCCGTAAGCGGCGAGAAGAGGAAGAAAGAAGAATGGAAGAACAGCGAAAAGCAGCTTGTGCTGAAAAGTTAAAACGGTTAAATGAGAAATTTGGCTGTGTGACAAAACCCTCCCGGGAAGACCCTCTGAAAGAGAGGGAGCGGGAAAGGGAGCCGGCGAGGGTGAGCGGGAGAGAGAGCGGGAGAGAGAGCGGGAGAGAGAAAAAGAGAGGGAGAAGGAAAAGGAAAAAGAGAGGGAAAGGGAGAAGGAAAAGGAAAAAGAAGAAAAAGAAAAACTGGAGAAGGCAAAAGAGCAAGAAAGGGAGAAAGAGAAAGAAAAGGAGATGGAGAAAGAAGAGAAGGAGAATGAGAAAGAGAAAGAAGAGGAGAAACCAGCACATGAGGTTCCTGAGCCTGTAGAACCTGTGGCAACACCTGTAGCAGAAAAACAAGAAAGTGAAACCAGGAATAACAAGGAAGAAAAAGGTACGTTTGCACGCAAGTAGGAGTTGTCTGTCTTAAAGCTGAGCCACAGAGCATAGTTGTAATGTAGGAGTCTAATTTGCATACCTCATTAACCTAGTGTGTCTAGATCATTTATTTTCCTAGCACATTACAGCTGCTAACTGTCCTTTGAGCTAGACCTGTTTGCCCACTCACCAAAATGTTAAAGGAAAAATTGGGCTCTGTGATTTAGGCTGGACTTTGAAGAATACAGAAAGAAAAGCAGGCTTTCTTTTCTTGCTAAAGGAGGGTCAGCAACTCATGTTGCTAAAAAGCAATGTAAATTATTTCATCTATTCTGTTCTGTCAGCAAGCCTAGAGAAGTAGACACACAAAGCACGTATTTAAACTTGGTGCATTATTTGTAGTGGAACTTGAATGCCACAAGAGAATTGTCAGACTATGCTTAATAAGGTTGTGTTATCCTCTAAATGGATAAAAGTAATTGTAAAACCAAACCTTGGTTCATAAAAAAGCTGATTCAAATGTAATATGGTAGCATTGATACAGCACTTCTTAAATCACCTAATAGTTACAACCTAAATGCCAGTGGTTGATTACCCAGTGTATGTGAGTTTAAAAGGGACACTGAGAGATGTATTAACAACAATTGTTCTTAACTTTTCTTGCCATATTGGTTTTGGAACTGAGACTGTGAGGTTAGAGAAGGCAGACTGTTTTCATTTTAGAATATCCTTTATCTGACATTCTGGTGAAATTGTCATAGTTTTAAGATTCGCTCTTGTCTCCCACATGTGGGTTTTTTTCAGAAGATCAAGCAGTCTTTACCCGACAAGATAGTGGTCGGAATGAGAAAGAGATTTCACAGGTGACTCATGAGAGTGAGCCAGATTCAGGATCTCAGCCTCGTCCTGCTGTTTCCTCGGGCTATTCTAAACAGTTCCAGAAATCATTACCACCAAGATTTCAGAGGCAGCAGGTAACTAACCAGTTCATTAAAAGAAGGAAGTTCATCAAAAGAATGATGTCTTCTGCCTCATTCCGAATAAGAATGTGACCATAGAAGTTTCAAAAAGCCCAAGTTGTTGGTTTCCAGCTTCTATAGCATCTATGGTGTTGGTAGGAATTGCTCTGCATGAAACACTTCCTGCCACTTGCAAAGTATGTAAGTGAGCAGAAGGCAGGAGAGGCTTTTAAAACTGGCCATTTTTGCATCAGTTGCTGAAGTAGAGCATTGCCCTGTGGTTACCTGTGGAACCTGGGGTTTGATCATTCCTTCTGCAGCTTTTCCTTAAGGGGTGTGACACTCACAAATGTAATTTGGACTTGGGTCCTATGGTCTGAAGAGTGCTTTGCATTCATGACATGCACAAAGTATAGGTTGTTCTGTGTGTCAGCTGAACACCAGCGAAACTGTAGCTATTCTAAATTGTCCAGTCTGGTTTTGCCCCTTTTCTCCTAGTTCATCCTGATGCATATTTGCGATTAATTTTCAGAATGCTTAGTGTCCTGGAGATAACTGTACTTGTTGTTTCCATGGGTTATTTGAATTCTGCTCAAGTCCTCATCTTAACAAAAAGCTGTGTAATACTGTTTTGTTACGCAGGAGCAAATGAAGCAGCAGCAGTGGCAGCAACAACAGCAAGGTGTCCTTCCACAGTCTGCTCCCTCACAGCCTTCTAGTGGCCCTGTCCCACCTCCCCAGCATAGACCCCTTTACCAGCCCATGCAACCACATCCTCAGCATCTAGCTTCAATGGGCTTTGATCCACGGTGGCTTATGATGCAGTCTTACATGGACCCACGAATGATGTCAGGAAGACCTGCAATGGATATGCCTCCTATTCATCCAGGTAAAATCTGGCAGCATTTTTTGACTG